AGCGCAACGCCTCAAGCATGGCGCAAGCTGCGTACGCTCGCACAAATGCCAATCATCTGCCGAGAGCGCCCTCTCATTGGTTCATTCGCCTGATAAATGCCGTTACGTAAGCCAATCCGAGCGTCGTATTGCGCATACCAGCGATGGATTGGTTCAAATGCGGCACCGATATGCAACTTCAATTTGCGCAGCCGAGCCGACGTGGTCGACAACTCGGGCGCCAAGGAGCATTCCTTCATTTCCCCGCGACCTCCAAGGCATGACCAACGACACCAAGTCAGAAGCTCAAGGTAACCTTGTGCTAGTGCGATGCTGGCATCACTTCTCGGGTCTCTAGGCAGCACGCCGCTCAAGTCGTTCCTCTCGGGCGGCTTTGGCGGCATGTGCCTCGTCGCTGCCGGCCATCCGCTCGACTTGATCAAGGTCAACATGCAGACGATGCCCATGCCAAAAGCTGGCGAGGTGCCCATGTACTCGAGTGCTGTCGACTGCGCGCGCAAGATCGTGGCCAAGGACGGGGTATCACTCTACTGCGGTATCCATGCAGCACACTCATACATGTGCGGTGCTGTGTAGCCGCGCGGGCTCTACCGTGGTATGGTCGCGCCGCTGGCCACGATTACGCCAATTTTTGCCACGTATTTTTGGGGCTACGACCTCGGGGCGCTGCTTGCGGTACGAACGTCCCGCCCACTCCAGCTCATGCTCACATTTGCGGCGTAGCGCAAGGCCGCGGGGATAGCGGACGACGAGAAGCTCTCGATGAACCAGATCATCTTTGCCGGCGGCTTCTCTGCGATTCCTACCACGGTCGTCATGTCGCCCGGCGAGCGCATCAAATGCTTGCTCCAGGTACCCACCACCTCATCAAGAAGAGGACGTTCAACCAAGATCGTGTAGATCCAAGCCCAAGCCGTTGCGAGAGGCGAGACGCCGCAGTACAAGGGCATGCTCGACTGCGCGTCGCAGATCTACCGCACGGGCGGTCTCTCGAGTCTCATGCGGGGCTGGGAAGCGACGTTGCTGCGGGACATTCCGGGCTCGGTTGGCTACTTTGGCGGCTACGAAGGCTTCAAGCGGCTCCTTACGCCGGCGGGCACACGCACAGACGACCTCAGCGCGCTTCGTATCTTCTTTGCTGGCGGCATGGGCGGTGTGATCAACTGGATCATTGCGATCCCGCCGGATGTCATCAAGTCGCGCATCCAGACCGCCCCCGACGGCGTCTACAAGGGGTCGGGCATTGTCGACGCGTACAAGCACTTGGT